GTGGGGATAAGAATTGTGCTATTATAACAAATACAACTCATAAACTATAAACTTTAAAAGAGTCAGATATGTTGATGTTTGTGAAAGATGTTTCCTCTGTTTTGGGGGGATGGACATTGTTAAATTAGACTAGATTTATTGCATGGGAATTTGTTAATATTTCACTATATATCAGGGGTGGATAATTTTTTTCACTACTTATTACTAAGTAGTAGTTTTCATTAATAAGCATTGCTGTTTAGATGATTACTTTGTCTAGAGCTCATATGAATGTTTTTAGCATAACTTTGTGAAAGTTTAACTTCTGTACTGAATGGAATAGCATAGACTTCTTCATGGCCAGTGTTTGCATATGTCATTTCATTCTGTACTTGTTCTACAGATCTCTGTACTAGTGTTAAATGCTACTGCTTTTTTCCCCCCTTTTGCTACTGTTTTACTGCTACGTTTCGTTCAGATAATATGATTTTTATTTATTTATTTATTTATTTTTGCCTTACCGAATGTGGAATCCTGTCAGTAATAACCTGTCCGTGGCCTTTTTTGATTACTGTCAGTTTTGTGCCAGGGATGCAGTGTTGCCAGATATTGCTATGAAAACAAATAAAAACCGAAAAATAAACCAAACTTTGTTCAAATCTTTTGTAAATAAGACAAGATAAAGATACTGCTAACCCTAAACTGTGGCTGCCCTCTTTATTAACTTTGAAAGTGTCAAATTAAGAGGAAAAGACAAGACGAAGAAGATTATAATAGCTGGATCTGGCTGAGCCCGCGCTCTCACTGAGATTGAGGTCTCTGCAGAGCAAAAGTGGGCGTTTCTGAATTTGTGGGTGTTTTCAATCATGCAATCAAATGCCAGATTCTGGCAGATAAATTCTTCAAACAGTGTTACAAGAGGATGTGGTGCTGGTCCTTCAAGAGTCTCTCTCAACTTATCTGTCTATAAAGCATATATATATATATATATATATATATATACTGTATATATATATATGTATATAAAAATCAGTCTTGAAGTATTTTACCACAATTCAGTATGTTATTCTTATTAAGTAGGGGCCTTTTTTTTTAAATTCTATACTTAACCTAAGTCTCTGAGAACCTGACACCTTCTACTTCTGGAGACTCCAGGTAGGTTGCAGTTCTGGAAAATGGTGGCGCTGGAGACTAAATGGTTCCTGTGATTTCACACCTAATTCTTCACCTTAAATCCTAATTCTTTTGCAGTTAACATGCATCTTTTCTTCTCCACATGTTTTTGACTGACCCTGCTGACCCACTGAGCATTTTGCCGTCCAATGGTTATGCATTCACTTTGCAATTTCTAGTATTGTATTAGTTTTGAATATTTCTCATGGGCATTTAATAATTTTTGACTTTCAGTCTGAGTTAAATCTCTTTTTTGGCTCATTTTATCTGTAAAAGAAAATCTGCTTAATAATTATGCACACCTGAATATAAGACATGTTTCACTTCTAGCCTTCATGAATAATTATATATCAATTATAAATAATTAAATACAAGATTAATAGTAGTTATTAAGATGCAGTTCTGGAAAATGGTGGGCGCTGGAGACTAAATGGTTCCTGTGATTTCACACCTAATTCTTCACCTTAAATCCTAATTCTTTTGCAGTTAACATGCATCTTTTCTTCTCCACGTGTTTTTGACTGACCCTGCTGACCCACTGAGCATTTTGCTGTTATGCATTAACTTTGCAATTTCTAGTATTGTATTATTTTTGAATATTTCTCATGGGCATTTAATAATTTTTAACTTTCAGTCTGAGTTAAATATATTTTTTGGCTCATTTTATCTGTAAAAGAAAATCTGCTTAATAATTATGCACACCTGAATATAAGACATTTTTCACTTCCAGCCTTCATGAATAATTATATATCAATTATAAATTATTAAATACATGCAATCATGTGATCATGCGATGTGGGTTCGATCCCAGAGAACGCATATGCTCATAAAGTGAATATGCGCTATAAACCACTTTCCAACGCGTCTGTCAAATGCATAAATATAAACGAGTTTTGCTAAACCTCTGTAAGGGGTAGGTTTAGGGTTGGGGTAGGTGTAGGCGTTAGGAATTGTGATTTTATGGCGAGATTTTGCGTCACTTCCAGACGTAGCTGTATCCCAAATGAACTTGCATTTTGATTGGAAACATTGGTCATACGTCATTTCATGACGACAGACGTAACATGATGCTGTCATTATTTTTATGCCAGCTAGAGGGCGCTTAACTTTAAAATGTAAATATAGGTCGTAATAAGGTGCTTGCAAAAACGGCTATAGGGTCATTTTTTGGAGGAGGACAGTCTCCAATTTTGCGTCGTGATAATGTGATGACGTCATCGCGCAATGACATCACAACGTCATTTAGCAACAAATCGACCCAGTGTTGCCAACTTAGCAATTTTGTTGCTAAATTTAGCAACTTTTCAGACTACCCTAGCAACTTTTTCGTACAAAAGCACCTAGCAACAAATTTAGCTATTTTTAAAATTTATTTGGCAACGTTTAGCAACTTTTGATAAGTGGCTCAAACAATAAAAAGGCAGACATTTTCCATCTAAATTACACAAAAAGCGGAAACCAAAGGTGCCTAGAAGTACACACACCATGTGAATTAAGTTTGTTGTTATTTGCAGTTGTTCAATTTAATAATAATAATTAAATTAATTGTTCATTTGTGATACACCTTGTTAGTGTAACATGTCTAGTCTGTTTTCATTGTGTTTTCCTGTTCTACCTGCCTGTGACCCAGTTTTCCTGTGTTCTGATTAATTCTTTCGTTTCCACTTGTGTTTATTAATGATCTTGTTTGTCTCTGTTCATTTAAGTCCTGTGTTCTCCCTGGTTCCTTTGTCTGCTATTATTTGTGTCTACGTGTTGTGTTACCCCAGCTCCTCAATTTCATGTGTTCTCTCTGTGGATTATAATTAAAAGACTGTTTATTGAAGTTACTTCTTCGTGGTGCACTTAGTTAGACAGCACAACCGTTACAGTTTGTAGCTTGTATCTGCGATTGTTGATCAGTTAGTACATGTAAGAAAAATATCTAGAAAAACGGAAAAGGCTCTAGTAATTTTCCAGGATATTATCCTTTATCCATTAACCCTGTAACCCAAAACGCAAAATATAATATGTAATTTAAAATGCAGGTAAAAAATAAAAATAAAAAACAACCTGTGAAAAATCAATACATGATATTGTGCCCTATTTTTACAGACTCTTCTTGTGTAGCATACTAACTACTAATAAACTGCTTAAAACTATAATTGTTCAGAATGTATCGTTTACTAGCTAATAAAAAACTTGAGTAAGTGTTCAATAATTTAATGTTGTATTTAAAAAGTTATTTATATTTTAATATTATGCAATTATATTAGATTACTAGCAGATCTAAATTAACATATCTAAAATATATTTGTTGCTGAGTTTTGATGCAGTGACACTTTTTCGTTGTGATTACATGATGACGTTATCATGCAATGACATTGCAATGTCATTTAGCAACTTTTAGCAACAAATCAAACTTCCTTTAGCAACTTCCCCTGGAAATTAGCTGGCAACACTGGCTGTTGGCATTTAGAGAGCACTGAGGGCAGGCATCAGGTGAGCAAGCTAGTGAAACGTTGAACGAGCAAAAGAGAAGGTCTGCACACATCCAAAAACTTATTTTAAATGCAAAATTGATTTTCGTGCGCTCGAAATATCTTCTTTGCGATACAAACATTTTCTCCACAAAACTCAGTTCGCGCACGTGCAAAACGCACTTTGTGGCAGAGATGTAAACTCCATAGGACGCAGCCTCGGTAGGATGCAGCCTTCCGTTTGAGAAGCACCCAGCGACATGACGAGACGCAGCGACATGCATAGTTCTCCGTTATTTTCACAACACGGACAAATTAGTCGTTCAGAAAACAGATTTTATTTCTGAACATGAAAATTGCACCGAGGTCCGGACTTCGGTGACCTCAGCTTTGTTCATAACCAGGATTGCAAATGTGTCTGAAAGATGTTTAAAAAAAAGTTTTATGATTTCTTTCTCTTGCCATGTAACGTTATTGGTGATAATCTTTGTTCCCTTGAGGTGTTGCACTGTGTGATTAAATATAGGCTGTATTGACATAGGCTATACTTACATGATCGCACAATGTACAGAATCAACATAGCTTAACAGATAAATATAAAGCAAAAGAAATATAAATCAAAACAATACTCAGAGGTATCAAAATAAATAGCAAACATGTAACGATTTAAAACAATGTCAAAAAAACATAAAACATTTCTACAGTCAAGGCAGGTCTGAATTAACAATAAATCAAAAAACAATACTCAGAGGTATCAAAATAAATAGCAAACATGTAACGACTTAAACCATGTCAAAAAAACATAAAACATTTCTACAGTCAAGGCAGGTCTGAATTAACAATAAATCAATTCATATACGCTTCATTATTTGAATAATTAAATGTTACAAACGAAGGGTATCAGTTAAAATAATTAAATGCTGAATAAAGAACAGGTGTGTAAAACATGTTCATACAGTATACTGCCAGAAGATGGTGCTCTGTGAATGAATTCAGCGCGACACCTGCGCGTGTGTATGTGTGCGTGTGGATGAAGGCTGCGATTGTAACTTGTGCTATCGAAAAGGCAGCATCACCGCGCGCTCTGCCTCCGCAGCGATTCGCTCTTTCAGCAGCCGATGGTTGTCCCTCACTGAGTCAACATCCAGAGAACAGTTAATTTCCTTAAATAGCCTCCGCAGGGCATGAACGTAGGATTCTTATCCAGCTGAATTTCGGATTTAAAGCGGGGAGAGGAGAGCGTTTGTTCCCTGGACATCATTTGGTGAGTGTACAATGTCATTCCATCGCACTCAGTGTTTGTTTGCGGGGTAATGCGCTGTTTCAGGTTAGCTTAGTTCTGTCTTTTAAAGATGCTTGTTATTTTGGTTAAGATTGAGGAAAGTAGCACTGAATTCAATTCCAACAAACCTGCCTCAATGTCCTGAATAAAGACAAAAAGAGCGAATGCATCTGTGTTCAGTTTAACAATAGAATTTGGCATCGCAGCTCTTTTAAAGAGACTGACCCAAATTTGAAATGGAAGGTTGGTGAGTGGAAGGTGTAGTGAATTTGGGAATAAAGAAGGATGTGATTTGTTCTCTCTCTCATAAACACCTGAACAAAGCTCTTCAGTGACATGGCAGGTACACCTGCACATCAATTGCAAAGGTTTTTGCTTTTCACCTTGAGAACTGCATTAGGTTGGTATGGCTGTTTGAAATACTTTAATCCAGAGTTACTGCTGAACAGACATTAAAAAAACAAAAAAACATTTGAGCTCAGTTTGGTCCACTTCCAGCGTTGTCGGACTGAATATAGAATTTCAAGATATCTACAACTATTACTTTTTTCATTATGTGCTACTTATACAGAATATATAAGAGATGTGAAGCTATAAGTTGGTTTGGATGCAGCACTGGATGTTGCTAGACCCGGGGTGGAGGTTTAAAGCTCCTCACACTAATTAAAAGTCTTGTCTTCATGTTCAACTGCTGTTTAAAACCTTTTTGAAGTGATGTTATGCTCTCAGTGTGCTCATATGTCAAGACTATTGTTGTTTACAAAAGCATTAATTGGCATTTCGGGTGTAAGTATTTTACAGTGCTGGAAAGGAGGTGACGAAGCTTGTCCATTAGGAGGGAATGCTGTATTGATCTGGAGAGCTGACTGGCAGATCTTTCCACAGAGTGCCTGATCGCATCTGTAAATAAGCCCGTTGAATGAGCTGTAGATGACGAGGACAAAGCTGGATCAAAGGCGTGTAATGTTATCTACAGAATGCTCAGTGCTGGCCCCTGCAAATTTCATGGTTTCACATGAAATGCACACTGCTTGCAGCATGTTAATGGGATGAAGGATGTCTAAAGCACTGAGATCCTGTTTATCAAAACATCTCAGTTATCTCCTTGTTGTTTGTTTGAAAGCATGCACGGACAGAGAGATAACGAAGAGCTTCAGTTTTGTTTGCTCTTACTGGGCCAGAAGATTTGGCTGGATCATTATAAATTCTTCTCGTCTGCCGTCTCTCGGTTGTCTTCTGTGCCGTGGCAGCACGCTTGAAAAGCATCATGTGTTTAGTGATGAAACGGGGAGAACGTGTGAAGTGCTTTTCACAGATATGCACTATTTTAACAGACGTATTTCATGCCTGGCTTTCAGGCCCCTGTTGTTCATGGAAAATCAACTTGTGGCCAGGTCATCAGGCATGAACGATGTTGAATGAAGATGAGAAGCTCGCAATATAAATATAAATCAATCCACTGAATGGATTGTAGTGGCTTGTTGGTGGGTAACTATGTCAGTATTCTGATCCATCATAGGTTTTGCTGTGCAGGTTACTAATTAGTTTAGATGTCAAGCTCTCCAAAGGCTAATTAAGCACCTAGAAAGCCTGGCGTTTAAGAAGCTGTCATCATATTTGCTGTTCCGTGATCTGAATTATTTATTTCATTGATCACAAGGTGAGGGGTAGGCTCTGTTGTTAACCATGGGATGTATCTTGGGTTACAATGAGTGGTGGTTCAGATTTAATTTGGAGACACATGGCTTTATTTGCTCAGATTTTCCCCCCTCATTGACACATGACAGGTACAGGTTAAAAAGGGTCAGCATTTGCATGATATTTATATAGAGCTAATGAACATCATTTACTGGTGGGCAATGACAAGCTTAAAATATCCTGTCACTTTTGTTGACTCATTAAGCTTGAATCAGTGAGGTCATTGACGCCAGAAGGGACAGGTTCAACATAGTACATAATTGTATGGGCAACCAAGGATCTTAATAAGATGATGATGAAGTCAGGTCTCATTTTATGCGATTTTTATGTTATCAGCTTTTCATTGTTCATCTGTGTAAGGAAACAGGTTTGATTTCCAGAGAATGCGTCAGCGGATACAGGAAATGTGTAGCTTGAAATCATTCAAATTAAGTAGTTTTTCTTTTTATTATCAAAATTATTTTGGATGTTGGATCATATTCCATTAGTTTAACAGTGTCTGCCTAAATGGTGTAATTACAGAAAATGTGAATGTAATGTACCCAAGGAAAATTTGTCGCCATGGCAAAATGTGGTGGAGATTTTTAATGACTCTTTCTGCAGGTTTCATTGTCACACCAGTTGGTGGCGACAGTGACCGTCTTTATGAATGAGTCAAAAATCATTCACTGAACAGATTTCTTCAAAACTCTGATTCAGTCAGCGATGAAACAAGCTACTTTAAAGTTACATCTAAAATCGATATTATACTATATTTTGCATACTATATGGTAGGGCTGCACGATTAATCGAATGCGATTGTCATGCGCATTTTGATTGTAATGCCGGTTCTGTTATCAGCAGGAAATCATCATCACGTGCTTTCAGATGGAGCAGAATTTACTACACATAGCCGTAGTTCACTGACAAGTTACGCAAAAAAATCGCAGACGATTTTATTGCACGATTCTGAAATCGAAGGAATCGTTCGCGATTATGAAAGCTGTTTGCATAGCTTCTCAGTGAACTACGGCTCTGTGAAGATAATGCTGCTCCATCTGAAAGCATGTGAAAATACCACATTTAATAACATATTTTTACTCCAAACTCACTTCATAACGTCAGTCGAGTGTTTGAAATAAATCCTTCTGTGAGATGATGTGGCTTCTTACACAGAATAAGGCACGCAACATATGTCATAGTATTTAAGCAGTGATGAAGGCATTGCATTATAAATATACTTCATTTTAATGAAAATTATAATAAGAACTCAGATAAACCGTATATTGCCGTAGTCGTGTGTTTATTAGTCACGTTGAATCAATGAAAGCAGTTGAATCTTCTGTTTATTCAGCTGCAGCAATAGGCATTTTCTGGGTTTCTTCTGCGAGGCGTATTTGGAGTTTCAGCGCGAGAGCGCCCTCTGGCCTTCGGATGGAGATTTACTACTGA